TGATACCTCAACTTTTACCAGAGTGTTTTTAAACTGCAGTATCTCTACTTCTACTTTAGTAACAAATGTGTGAACTTTTGACACCACTGCTCTGCAGGGAGGAGCAAAGACACTTCTCTATTGGTCTGGATGGAAGTTAGCAGCATAGCTCACAACCAAGAGCTTGTATTGAGCTTAAAGGGAAGAGAAACAGCTATTTGAAAAGAATAAAATCCTTAATACTCACTATGGAAAAGAGAAATTTTGAAAAAAATTAAATAAAATAAGAATATACAATCTTTTGGGAGGTGCTTCGCTGGTGCAGTGGTTGGAGCACACGAGCCATGTATGGAGGCCTTAGTCCTTGACGCGGGCGGCCTGGGTTCGGATCCGTCCTGTGGTCCTTTCCTGCACGTCTCTCCCCCTCTCTCTCACCCCGTTCCTGTCAGCCTACTGTTGAAAAAATGAGCCACTAGAGCTATATTTATTTTTATTTATTTATTTCGAAAATACAGTAAAAACTGTCAAGAAAGAGACATTTTTTTTTTGAATGAAACAAACTTAAGAATGAAAATATAAAACAAATTATTTTGCCCATGTGACATGCAAATTTTATATTTTCAGTTCGAAAAGGAGCAGGTAGAAGATACATCTTATAATGTCCTGCCCCTTTCCTGCTTGTCAATTTATCATCAATTAACTGTCAAAACATCAAAAAAAAACAAAAAAAAAACCCACTTGTTTCCATTCCACATGATGTTTAGCCATGTACAATTATTTTAAGTACTATTTATGTCATCAGTTACATTATAGACTATTAAATAGCCATCTTATATAGCGTATTTTGAAATGAGCTCGGTTTTAATCAGTTTTTTAAAATTGGTTTACATTTATAATTTTTTTTAAATTCGTCATTCAATCCATTTCAGACATTTACTTCCTGGTTGTTCTAAAGTGTTGTTTTTTTAAAGTATCCTTCACCTCTTAGATCATTTCGGACCTTAAACATAAATTGTGAAGTTCTAAATATTACCAGGTCCCAGAATTTCAGTATATTTGATTTGATGAAAAACTCAAAAAGAATAAAAAATAATATATATATATATATATATATATATATATATATATATATATATATATATATATATATATATATATATATATATATATAATAGCTGGAGATAGGCACCAGCACCCCTCTCGACCCCAATTGGGACAAGCATGTCAGATAATGGATGGATGTATATATGTATATATATAACCTTCAAAACAAAATGGAAATAATTCCAAAAGAATAAAATATTAAACAATTAAAAATGAAAAAAATAATTAAGAAAGAAGGAAACAGAAAAATTTTTTGATTAAGAAGATTTTCAAAGTGTAATTTTTAGCGTGCATTTTTTTTTTTTCAGATTTCCATTCTTTGCTTGCTACAATAATTGAACAACATTCACTCCATAATTGATTAATTCTCATTGTAAATTAATTTAACCCCCCCCCAACAATTTCATGATATTTTTGGAGAAAATACAATAAACCTTTCCAGGTTAGTAAAGTCAAGGTGGGGCTGCTGATAACGTCTTGCTCGCTCAGATGGCCTTGAAGCGTTGCTAAACGTCACCTTTCTTCCATAAATCCAAAAGGAAGCAGCAGTTTGGTTTCATCTGTGAGTCTAACTTCAAACATATCAGGAGACAAACATTTACAATATTCTTTTATGACAGATTATTAAAGCTAATCTTGAACCTTTCCTTCCAGTGCTGCTGATATAATGTATTGCAATGGCTGGAATTCCCGCAGGGAAATTCAAAAACACAATTCAAGGCCAGAGATGCTTTACCAGAGAACAAAGATGACGGCCATAAAGAGAGCAAGCAAAGAGAGTCGGAAGCAAACTGTTGAAACGTTTATAGTCTAAGAACCCAGCCTCTTTTAATGAGTAGTGTAGGTAAAGGTCACTGACTCCAGAAAGACTGTTTTGATGAAGTCATTGCAGTGAAGGATAAGGGATACCCAATAACCTTGAACAACTGAATAAACAAACAGATAATCAGGAGCAGGATCTATATGGAGTTATTTTTGCATTTTTATATAAAATTAAAGGGGAAAAAAGTGATCTGAGAGGGAAAAAATATTTCGAAAGTAAATACATATACAGGAAAGAACTCGTTTTCAGAGAAATAGAAAAATCTGATCAATTAGTAATTAAAAGATACATGGACATTTGGAAAATGATTTACAAAGGAAAGGAGCTCTCTCAAAAATATATTTTTACTCTACATTACTGCGTTCCTATTGGCTACTTCACTATATTTAGCAAATATGGATCATACTGAAGTGTCCCTACCAGTTGTATTATTTGAAGTCAGCCAAGGACTCCTCGGATGGAATCCGTTTGGGGAAAAAAAGGACATACAACATAACCCTCCAAATTGTGTCATGAACCGCGAACAGATGGACCCAGTATTCAAGGAGAGACAGTCAGTAGGAAAGTTAAAAAAGTTTATTGAATAAAACAAAAACTAAAGTGGAGCTGTGGCTCGCGGACACTGCAGGATGGGGAGCGGGGTACCGCACAATCAGACACTCTGGTTTAACAATCCAGTCCAAGAGTGCCCCCAGTACTGCAGTCCCAGAGGTCATGCAGGAGAGCCGATCCTGGTCAGGGATCCAGAACAGACAGGAACAGACAGAACAGGCAGGATCCAGGCCTTGTAGGATCCAGGCAGCTTCAGAGTCCAGCAGAGTCCGAAGCGTGACCAGGCGGTCATGCACAGGAGTGGACAGGATCAGGTCCAGACGGGAAAGCTCAGTGGAAGGGGGTATCCGAGACAGGACGTGGAACCAGAACTTGATGCAGGACCTTTAAACTGGTCTCCTCCCTGGAGCCAGGCTTACTGAGATAAAAACTGAACCTGCCCGCATACAGAGCCAAAAACCCAGAGGGCTCAGCAGGGGAGGAACAGTGGACAATCAGGAGACGAGACAAACACAAAACCCTCCTTCCACTGGCCGCCAGGAAGCCTGAACTTGAACCGTGGCATCAAAAGAACAGAACTGGACAGACTAACAGAAAACAAATAATGATCTGGCCCTGAATGCTCAGGCTGAACTGAATATAACCAAGAAGAAACAGGTGAGAGGAATAAATTATAATTGAGGCAGGGAGGGAAAATGGCAGGTGAAAGAAATTACCAATTAAGGGAGAGCAAACAGGCCAGATCATGACAAATTAATCTGTAAAATTTTCCCTAAAACTTTCATTTTTGATATGGCTTATAGTTAGAGTAGCTCGGGTTCTCCTCTCTATAGTAAGGCTGCTGGAATACATAGGCATTCCATTATAGTCATTAGGTGCTAAAAATACAAATGTAAATTCAATCAATGAAGGAGTGGTGTGCTGTTAGATCAGCATACATTTTTCTAACACCCATGCGCAACAGAGATGATTCCAACGTTGAATTTTACCAGCCGTGCACCTACCAGCAAAAACACCTTTATTTTCAAGTGGTGAAGATTCTCAGTCATTGGAATGTCATAGTCATTCCAAAAAAAAGTAAAAAAAACAAACCATCGGACTTTGTTTTCAAAGTTTTAAGACGTTTTGCTTCCCATCCAGGAAGCCTTTTTTAATTTGAATTGAAAAAGCCTCCTGGATTGGAAGCAAAAACACCTTCATTGAAGTGGCAGGCCAACGTCAGAGGTATGCAGGTCTAAAAAACAAATCCTTAAAGAGAAGGAGATCCAGTTTCAGACACCAATGGATACACTGAGAGTTGACTGGCTGGAGGGAAACCAGGTTTACTACAGGAAGAAGCAAAAGAGATGCGACAGAGGATTGCAGGTACCAGACCTGGGCAAGAAGGGCGACAGTGGCATTGGATGTAGGAGTTTGCCCTGAAATCGAGGGCCCGAGGGCCCGGTGGCGCCAGTGTACGGCAGCCCCGCTTCTGTCAGTGAGCCAATGTAGCTTGCCACCATCAGTGTGTGC